CTCAGAAATATTCCAAAGACAAACAAAAATATGATAAGGAACTTATCAATGAGTTAACAAGACCCTCAATGAGACAGACTGACACAGTGGTTGTGACAATGGGCTCAAACATGGTAATGACTGTGAGGACTGCACAGAACTAGGCCATCCTCTGTTTCCTTCTGTTGTCCACAGGGTTGCTGTGAGTCAGAACTGACTCGATGGGTGCTTGATAACAACATGTGCCAACTTTCAGAACCTCAGATTCAGAAGAAACTTCAATTAAGGTGTTAACCATAAAATAATAAACATTACTTACAAAGTGAATAGGATTAGCAACATTTATGTCAATGTGAAAAATTTATAATAATGAAATAGACCTTCATCACTACTTTAGTCTCTTACTTAATGGAAGATGGTTTTTGGTAGTGTATAAATACATGGGGTTTTTTGTTGTGTTTTGTTTTGTTTTCTGTTACACTTGAGAGCATACCTATTTAGAAAGAGGAAAACAGATATGATCTAACAGGAATCCTATTACAAGAAAGACTGTAAGTATTTATCCCTGTGTTTAAAGCATTAAATATCTCTTAAAGAGATCGATAAAAGCAGACAAATAATTTTTCAACGAATTTTTACATACCATTATTCCAATGTAGTGCCGATAATGAAGGGGTAATGGCCCATCCATTTGCAGTAGATAGTGTTGAGTTTTTAAGAAACTCTCTAAATACTGTGGGTGAAAAACCATAACTAATGTAATGTTATCCAAACGACCCAAAGCAGCAAAGGAATCTGCAAATAAAGCATGCATCTGTGCGTCTTCACTTCCCACTTGGAGAATCTGTACAAAGAGAAAAATCATGATTACATAGATTGCAAATAGGGGTTAATGAAAGAAAATATGCACACACTAAGTGTCACTGAGAAGCATAAATTTGGCTTCAGTGAGAGGGGTTACAATTTCACAAACTTAAACTCAACTGGTAACAAGATAGAAGAGCCACATATTATACAGTAGGGGATAAGCAATAAAGGCTGAACATTAAAGACCTTTTAAATAGGCTGCTTGCAGATTTGGTCAGAATCCAGATAAAAAAGCAGATTTATATCATCAAACTTGCAGAGCTTACAAATAGTCAGTTAGCCTGCATTACAGCAATGCCTAAAAATATTGCTGCCATTGAGTCCATTCCAATTCATAGTGACCCCCATTGGATTTCCAAGGCTGTACATCTTTACAGACGTAGAATGCCTCACCTTCTTCCTGCAGAGCAGCTGGCAGTGGGTCTGGACTGCTGACCTTCTGGTTAGCAGCCAAATACCCTAACCACTATGTCACCAGATAGCAATGCCTACTGCCACTCGATTTAAAGAGAACCAAAATTAACAAACAGCAAACAATCCTTGTGAAAACAAAGCACTGTATTTATGTTTAGAATCAAAGATTCAGTCTAGCACTGATACTAGCCTGAGAAGATGGTCAGGATTAAGTAACCAGGGCATTAAACCAGTTAATTCCAGTTTGACCCCTTGCTGAGAACTTACTTTTCCACCCCAGATACAATGAATCAAATCTACATTTTAACCAGATCCCCAGGTGATTCTTGTATGTCCCCAGCTCTATAGATCTTACCAGAGTTCTGGTAGCGTAGTGCCTAAGGCACTTGGCTCCTAACCAGAAGGCTGGCGGTTCAAACTCACCAGTCACTCCCCAGAAGGAAGGTTGGGCAATCTACTTCCATATGATACTGCCTCGGAAACCCAAGGAGGGGTCGCTTTGAGTCAGGTCCAACTCGATGCAAACAACAACAACAATAGAGCTTACAGATACATAAGAATCACACGGAGATCTCATTGAAACATAAATTCTGATTCAGTATTATCTAGGGGAAAAGCAAACTCTCAGCAGGTGGGTGACTGGAATGGTGAAGCCCTGTAAGTAGCTCAGCTTATGGGCACACCTAAATAACATCTAAATTATGAGCAGATGGAGTACCATTAGTTAAAAACAAGTCTTGGCTTTCCTTTATTAAATATGGGTGTTAAAAAACCATCATGAAATACTAGAAATCAACACGACTACAACAGCTTTCTAATCCCACAAATTCACTGCCAAAGCATGATGATTAACTGTGATCAACTCTGCGTAAAACATGTTGTTGACCAACAGTTGTTCAGATGCCAAGATGTGGGTTATGAAAGCATTTCCTTAAAAGCATACAGTTCATTATGTACTTTCACAAACAACATACCTCCTTTTCTGGGATGAATCTGCTTGGTCCGTGTCCTAGTGGTCGAGGAATTCTAATTCCAAGTTCCTAGAAAAGAAAATTACACCATCTCAGGCCTCCAGCAGTAAACAACATGAACTGAGGCTAGAGGAATGGGAGGGAAAAACATCCAGTTGAACAGAGAAAGGCTTGTTCTGGCAGTTTGTTTTCATGGCTATATATACATATCAACTCTTCTGTTTGCATCACATAGCTAACAACAGCTTAAAAGATGACTCTGACTAAAAACAATAAAACCTGTTTCACTAAAACCAGAGTTTTGCATAAAGTACTTGGCAGAAAGTCTAGAACAGAAAGTTCAGCACATAGCAGCCAACCCTGTGGACTGTCGGTGATACAAAATAAGACCAATGTGTTTGTACATCTAAAACCTAACCAACCAAAATACCAATCCCTCAGCATCTTGTCAGGAAATGAAAAAACAGCAACCTTCACTTAGATGTCTTAAACTGAAAAAAAAAAAAAAAAGTATCTTTATACACTATACAGTAACACCTCACACTAAAAGCAGAAATATTTTAAAACAAAAAGTTCTTTCAATCCACAAAAGAGAAAATATTGCAGGACATGTGTTAATGAGATTGAGTAAAACAATTTTAGAGAAAGTAATTTTGTTTGTAAGCTTGCCTTAAATTAAGTACTTTATTTATAGGATGTCATCAACCTTGTTTATATTTTAGAGAAGCTCAAATAATTGAGAAATTAAGAGTTTTCTGTCTTTTGACTTCGTGAATCTAGAGTCCTATACCTTATATGAAGTGTCATGTGAACTATTAGGGTTTCCTTTTTTCCCCTTAATACTGTGTGTTTATAGAAACAAACCAAAGACTATATAATTTGATCACTTTTTGTTTTAAGGTCCATGCTCTATCAAACTGGCCTCATTAAAAACAACAACAACAACAACAACAAACACTTAGAACTTGTACAACTAAAGATTAACCACTTATATAATTACATACAAATATTATTTCCACTCTCTCCCTACTGCTTCCAAAGGTTCTTCATGATATAAACCAGATGTTTTCCTTTTAAAGAAAAAAAAAGGAGGGAGGGGCAGACAAAGAAGGACATTTGGCAGCAATTCAAGAAATCTGGTCCAACCAAGTGAAAACCTTCTGAGCAGACTGGATTTTTGAAAAGTAAGCAGGCAGGACAAAATTGAAGAGAATTTTTACTAGAAGTCAAGATTCAGATTCAAAGTGATTATACTTGTCAACTGAGTTCATAGAATATTATATTAATAGGTAATTTAAATAATCTTGCATTGGAGGTCAGTGATTTCTCATCTTGGTTTTCCACACTTATACTGAAGATAAGTAGTGTTCTGACAATCATACCCTTCACTAGAGAAGGTATTAATTCATTTGGTCTAGCTATGTATTTGTCTTAATTTTAACATATTAGCTGGAATCTACTTGATGGCTGTGGGTTTGGTTTGTTTGTTTGTTTTTATTATAAACGACAAAAGAAAACAGATTCCTGATATTCACTACATCATCTTGGCACAAATGTATCCATTTATATAAAATGCTAACTCTACTGGCATCTCTAACTGCTGAATTTCTGATCCAATTACATATATTTCAAACAAAACATATTAGGCATGGAATAGCATGCAGTCCTTTAAAAGAAAGAAGCAGTTCTATATGGGTTGATTTAAAAACATCTCTAAGATATAGTACCAGAAACTAAACCCATTCCAATGGAGTCAATTCTGACTCATAGCAACCTTAAAGGACAATCCTGCCCCACCGAGTTTCCAAGGCTGTAATCTCTACAGAAGCAAACTACCACATCTTTGTCCCACAGAACAGCTGGTGGGTTCGAACTGCCAACCTTTCGGTTAGCAGCCAGGTGTTTAACCACTGTAGCACCAGGGTCCCTCTACGATGTATTACTGGAAGAAAAAAAACAAGGTGCATAACATGTATGCATCATTTTACTCTTTGCAATGAGAGAAACTCAGCAATTTCCTATCTAGGAACTTCACATTAGCAGCATGTGGGTAGTGCTTTTCTTTTTAAAAAATGAGACCAAATTGATAAAATGTGAACCTCAAAACAAAGAGGTTGGGTTATATTATTTTAGTTTTGCTTCTTTATCAAATACATAGTTTACATACCAAACTATTATAAAACAACAGTTTCACGACTCCAAGAAAGTGGCTATCAATGCTGCAGAAATGGAATGCTTTCCTGTATGTACAGCAAGGGTCCTTCCCAATGATTCTATGTATTTTTCAAGTCTCAGTAATTTGATCCCTATAGCCAAACTGAGTGGCCATACTGATATCATTGGCTTCCCCTCTTGCACCTTGATTCCAAATCCTTCCTTCCCAGTTCCTTTTGAAATATATTCTTTTAGAGTGAGAAACTATGAATTTTAAAATATGATGCTTTGCAAAAGCAAACATTCTTCAGAATGGACTAGAGACCAACCTACTAACCTCTTAGTGTTATGACCGTATTCATTCCATGCTGAGGTACCAGTCTAGCAAAAGAGCTGGAGCCAGAAGAATGGGAAAACGAGTGAGGACTAGGAATGAGTTCTCTGACATTCACGACTCTCATTTCATTTTTCTTTTTTTAACCTAAGGTTAATCCTAGGCAACACAGAATTTTACTCAGTTCACATTGGGATTACCATGGTAATTTCCTACTAAACTGAAGAGGTTATGAGGTGTGTGTGTTCTGTAAAAGCAGAAAGGGTAGGGAGAGAAAAAAGAACCAAAAGAAAACGCTAGAGTTAGAGGGTGATAGACTTTTTTATTTTTTTAATCAATTCTTTTTGAAACAGAAGACTGATCAAGACTGATATAATGGGAAATAATACTGCTGCTCTAGAATCACCTAAATTTAGTCTCCTATGTTTAGTCTAGCCTCTAAATATTTAGGAAAAAAAAAAAACTTAAAAAATATATTTAGAGGCTAGACTCAAAAGATGTACCTTGTTCTTTCTTAGCTAATAAACAGGGTAAATGAGAAGAATACATATTTAGTTTGAAAAGTATATAACTGGATCAGAAATTTAGTAGTTAGAGAGCTACAGAGTTAATATTTTATGTATTTGTGGCCAGTTGATTACTATCAGGAATGTATTTTCTTTTGTCATTTATAATTTAAAAACAAAACAAAAACCCACTGCTGTAGAGTTGATTCCAACTTATATGTTAAAATTAAGACAAATACATAGCCAGACCAAATTAATTAAATGCTGCATCTAGTGAGAGGAAAGGAGCTTTGGTGGCATAGTGTGTAAAGCATTTGGCGGCTAACCAGGAGGTGGGCGGTTCAAACCCACCAGCTGCTTCAAAGGAGAAAGGTGAGGCAATCTGTTTCCATAAAGATTTACAGCCTTGGAAGCCCAATGGGGGTCAATTAAGAGTCAGAATTGACTTGATGGCAGTGGGTTTGGTCTAGTGAAGGGAAGAATTGAGCTCTGGTGATACCGTGGCTTAAAGCATTTGGCTGCTAACCAAAAAAAGGTCAGTGGTTCAAACCCACCAGCCACTCTACAAAAAAACGATGAGGCAGTCCACTTCTGTAAAGATTTACAGCCTTGGAAACCCTGCGGGGTGGTTCCACACTGTCCTATAGGGTCACTGTGAGTCAGAATCAACTCAATGGCAATAGGTTTGGTTTTTGGTATTCTAGTTTATAACCATTATATCCATCTTGAAAGGGATATAAGAACATGACATGATCTTTCCTACTTAATCTTATGCCTGAGAGAAAACAGAGGGCTGATCTGAGGTGTCCCTTGTGAATTGAGACTGCATCCCAATTTATCCAAGTCCAGCTAATGGTAGGATAACTCCATCAATTAACTCCATCCAGCCTCCTATGGCACACAAAACCAAAGCACTAACCTCTGGGAAAAGTAAACAGGTGGCAATTACCTTGAGAGCAGATGATGACATTTGTTCTCATTGGTTTTATAAAGATTCTTCATCTTGGGAAATGTGCCATAGAATAGAACAAAAATGCCCTTAATCTGTAAAATGTATATGATGATGGTGCTAATGATGCTAACACCAATACCAACTACCTTATGACATTAACTTTACAAATCACAACAGGCTCAAGTCTCATTTTAGGTACAAGGTCCAACAAATTTAGTTACCTAGTTTTTCGTAAGCAGCAGAGTGGAACAGGGAGGTAGTGGCTGGCACCTGACATTAGTTACTAATCTTTGAGAACCAAACTGTGTTTTAGGTTTCTGCTTATTTCTTAGCTGACATAAACATGCAAAAAGTAATCTGTGGATAACAGCAGCAGCAACACATAACACATAGTATTTATAGCTGGACAGTGTCTTATATCCTATTGCACGTAAACAAGTAGTATGTAACGTATCTATGATGGTAAAGTCTGCAATCTTCATGAAATAGAAGTCAAGGTCTTAGACTGATCCCCACATTAATCTATGAGATAGGTACTACCACTGTTCCCAGCTTACACAGATAATTTTGATGAAAGTCCTGGGATTCTAACCTACAGTTTAGCTCAGAATCAGTACTCGTAAGTGGCAGAGCTGGGGGTTGAATCCAAGAAGTCTGGTTCTAAAGTCTGCCTTCAATTATTATTCTTATGAGTCTCTTTAAGAGTTCCTGATACCTTGGAGATCTCTTTATCACTGTAGCATATGATGTGTTTGGTTTCTAAAGGGTTCCATTTCAATTTCCTGAAAAACTCAGGAAACTTTTTTGAAACTTCTTGCCCAGTCACATGACAAATTAGTTACTATCCTATTTCCGAGCAGGAATCAAAAAGGTACTACAGATCTTTAATGGGGTGAACATAAACCAAATTAAATGCATTTCTTACCTTCCTATCTAGGTTATTTCAACTACTTCATTTGCAGCTATAAGAAACTAAATTATAGCTCAACAAAATTTTGACCAATACAGATTCTAGGAAGCAAAACTGCCAACAGCAAATGGCCTTGTTGAAAAGTAGACGTAGATGCTAACCACGGGAAAAACTAACAAGGGAACTAACAGTCCTCTCCCCTCAACAGTCCTA